GGCTACAGCATTCAGAAACCCACAGATACCCTCTGCCGGATGGCTGCTCTGGACATCCTGGAGGTGAGGAGCGATGGTGACCGTGACCGTGGGCTGGCACTGCAGGAGAGGCTGCAAAGTCACAGCCGAGGCTGCCAGCGGCCGCTCTGGAGGTTTCTCTGCAAGCCTGCCATCCGCAGCTAAAACGAGCCAGCAGCAGAGATGGGAAAAATCCCTCAGGCGCACAGAGGCCGTGCTAAAAGTTCATGGAACCTTAGGATGAACTGAGGGGTCAGAGCAGGAGCTGATAGAACTCACAGTTCAGTTCATCTTCTGGCTAATCACCAGTGCAGCTGGAGGAGTCAGCAAGAGGCAGGGTTTCTCTGGGTAACATCCCTGGCTGTCCTGGAACGAGCTCTGTAGACCAGGCTGGCCTCGAACTCACAGAGGTCCGCCTGCCTCTGCCTCCCAAGTGCTGGGATTAAAGGCGTGCGCCACTACCGCCCTGCAATATTGACTGATGTTGATTCCCAGGACCCACATGGTGGAAAGAGAGAAATGACTTTCACAAGTTGTCCTCCGACCTCCGTAATCATGCTATGATGTGTACATGCCCACATATACAAAAATAAAATAAGTTAATTAATTAAAAAAAATAATGTGCTGGGCATGCTAGTGCATGCTTTTAATCCCAGAACATAGGAGGCAGAGACAGGCGGATTTCTGTGAGCTCAATGCCTGTCTTGGTCTCCATAGTGAGTTCCAAGCCAGCTGTGGTGGTTTGAATAAAAATGGCCCCATAGGCCCATGGGGTGGGGCACTATTAGGAGGTGTGGCCTTGTTGGAGTGGGTGTGGCCTTGTTGGAGGAGGCGTGTCTTAGGTCTTAGAAGCTCAAGCCTGGGCAGTGTGTCAGTGTTACTTCCTGCTGCCTGAGGAATCACCTCCCCATTTCCCTCATTTCCAAATGTCTGATTGGGTTGCTGTGGGCAAGAGGGCAGAAACCAGCCAATCCGAGCAGGCGCCTCCTCCTAGCAACCATGCAAGCCAAACCACGCAGCCTCTTTACCTAGCATGCTAACAAGGCGTTTCCCAGGGCTGTACTTGACTAGCCAGCGTGGAGCTCTGCGTCTCCTGGACAAGTCAGCAGGCTACGCTCAAGGCAAAGAGGAAGAGCTGCTTGGAGAAAGGTCTACGTTCAGGGAAACCCAGAGGCTCCGGGTGTGGGCCACAGTCTGGTAACAGGCCATTCTCTGCTTTGAGACTCAGGGCAGCTTAAGGTATCTGGGCCAGTGGTGTCGACAACCTTAAAGGAGAGCCACCTGAGTTCTGGTCCCCGCTCTGAGCCAGAAGAAGCCATTGGGGGTGGGCTGGGGTTGGGGGTGGGGTGGGGAGTATGTGACAAGAGCAACTAAAGAGAGAAGAGCAAGGGCTAGTGGGGTGTGGTGGCGCAGGCTTTTATCCTAGTACTTGAGAGGCAGAGGCAGATGTCTGTGAGTTCAAGACCAGCCTGGTCTACATAGTGAGTTCCAGGGCAGACAGGGCTATATAGTGAGACTTTATCATACACACACACACACACACACACACACACACACACACACACAGCAGCCGAGGGCTTATTTTAGCTCCCAGTTCCAGGTTCCAGTTCATCACAGCAGGGAATGTATAGCCCCGGGAGCATGAGGGAACTGGTCCCATCACATACACAGCCAGGAACAGAGACTAGGGAACACATGCATGTCTGTCAGCGCTCAGTTCCTCCATTCTCACAGTCCTGAATCCCTGCCCAGGAAATGACGTCACCCCACGATGAGCGGGTCTTCCCACCTCCACTAATATAATCAAGACAGTGCCCCACAAACAGTCCCACAGGCCAATCCCATCTGCACATTGTCTCATGGAGATTCCCCTCCCAGGTGACCCTAGATTGCGTCAAGTTGGCCAAGTCAACCGCCACACTCTCTTCTGAGGAGACAGACAACAGCGACCCTGGCCCCGCCCTGTTAACAGACTTTCCCAAGATGACACGGATTTTATTTCCAAAATTACCTCATTGGCACATTTATGGATGACAGACTAAGGAACAGGGGCAGAACCATGACTGAGATCTGGGAGCCTGGGGTCTGGGTCTTGTGCTTGTAGAGACTAGTTAGACTAGTTAGACTAGTTAGATCAGCGTGGCTCATGTCATGAACACAAAGCTGACTGTGATATGACCTTGACCAAGATACATATACACACACTGGGACCCTTCCCTTATTTCCTCTTCTGTAAAATGGGGACACACTCGCATCAATCTGACCTAAATGAAACTGTCAACATTCCTTTACCCTCCTTCTTTTGGAGACAGGTTCTCAGGTAGCCCACACTGCTCCCAAACCTTTTTATTTATTTTTTTTATTTTTTAAATCTGAGAGTGACCTTGAACTTCTGATGCCCCCTGCCCCTTTTGAACCCACCTTCTGAGCGAGCGCTGAGATTATAGACAAAAGGGAGATTTCACGTTGTGTTGGGGACAACCCAGGGCTTTGTACATACTAGACAAGCGCTCTCCCCCAGAGCGGCATCCCCAGTGCCGATACTTGTTTTTGTAAGCCATAAATAATTGAAAATAGGTAATTTCATACGATTCAGCATAATGTTTACCCAGTGAGGCAGCCTCCTTGGCCCCTAGCAGAGAAAGGTCTACATGTAAGTTACACTGTACCCTTGGCACACAAGGCTGACATTTGCCCACGTCTCCAGAGATGGGTGGTACAGTCTCACAGGAGGGTATAGGTGATGCCATGGCCAGATGGAGGGGCTCCAAGAGTTCTACAGCAAGACTTTAAAACTCAAAACTGAGATTCAGTCTGTGCTCAGAGGAAGGAACCATTTCCAGTTCCCCAAAGAACAAATCTGACACTCTGTACTTCCGTCTCCAAATCTGGCTCCACCCCGAAGCAACCCTTACCCACTGCACAAACATGCACTCAGCATGGCTTTAACAACAATGCCTGCTCAGCTGGTACCCCCGTTCCAAATGCCCTTTACACAGCAATGTCCAGATCTAGAACGGCCTGGCCTGGCCTGACTGAGGAAGGGCAGTCTCCCTGCCCTGCAGACCAGTCTTCCTCCTCATGTCTGCTTACCAGAAGACCTGTGCAGCCACAGGTAACCCACCCAAGTGCCCTGGACAAGCCCTGGCACTATCCACACCGATACCCAAAGGAACACTCTTTGGTGATCACTGAATGGCCCAGCTCAGGGTGTCTTGATTTCTTTTGTTGTTGTTGTTTTTTGTTTTGTTTTGTTTTTGTTTTTTTCGGGACAGGGTTTCTCTGTGTAGTTTTGTGCCTTTCCTGAAACTCACTCTGTAGCCCATGCTGGCCTCGAACTCACA